CCTCCCCCCCCTCCAACACACACACACACACACACACACACACACACACACTCACTCTTGGAGCTGTGTACAGCCAACAGGGCAAAACATAAACACAGCATAATCACTACCTTCCCCTTCCCCAACCAAATCAACAGACAAAACTACAGGCTGTGCACCCTTGCCCTCACGGTAAGTCAATATCTCCACTCCCATGTATGCCAATCTCCCTATCTAACAGTTTTGAGGTATCATCATTGAGCTGACCCGCGAAGGTAACTCGGAATTATTTTATTCTGTCCATCTGATTGCATCTGCATTCGAACTTGGGCCTTTCAACAGCTCTTCGGTGTACCAACTGAGGGCATATTGACACCAGTACTTTTTTATTCGAATCAGATGAGTGAAAACACACTAGTACTTTTTTAATTATTTCCAGACGTAATGGTCCCCAGATGCATCCAGGTAAGGCCGTAAATGCCTTTCAGATACATTTTAGATGGAGCTAGTGAGAGTCCGCCCTGAGATAGGCCCTTCGGTACCGCTGCGTTTTTTCCGCTGTGGTTGAACCCTTCAACAACCGTATGTCAGCAGCTGCCGTTGGCAGGAGACCTTCCATGGCGGATACCCTGGGGAAGGGCCCACTAACAAAGAGAGGATTGGATCACGCGTCTGCATCTAGAAGAGTTTCGGCCAGAGATTCCGGAAAAGCAGATCTATGGCTACCTTTTGCACCTCTCCACAAACACGTCCAACTTCAGATCTTAGATCCAATGCTCTTTGCCAGGGGCGCCTTTCCCCTGGACGAATAACAAATCAGAAAATCGTCTACAAACCGTGCACGAAGAAAGTTCTGTACAAACGATCACGATCACAATCACAATGATATAGAGATCTGGTTGTTCGTGGGAGATCACAAACGTCGTCCGTCGTGAGGACTGCATGATGCTCGCCTCAGACCACTCTTTCCTTCCTGCTGTTTGATGACTTCTGAATCGGTGCAAGGACGACCGCAGGTAGAAGGTCAATCAACTTTTGACTGACCATCTGTTCGTCGCTTATCCCTCCATTTCCGCGATCCCTCATCCTGCAATCTCTCAATCAAGCAACTAAGCGATTCGACCATGGGGATGTCAACGACGAGTTAATTAAGGAATCAAATCACTAGACTCCTTGTCCTTTTCTCCTCGTTTCCACCAATGCGTGTTCCCTTGTGAAAGCAATTTCTTGGGATGTTGAGGAGGGCCAACGGGGGTAGCTAGCTAAGGACCGGAGTCGCAGGACGCAGAGCGCGTCGGGCCACTGGTCAGAGATTTTCCTTCTCCTTTTCCATGTCAGAGATGTTCCTTTTCCTTTTCCTTTTCCATATCTTTTTCCCCTCTTTCTCCTTCTAACGCATTTTCTCTCTGCTCTCTGCTCTCTGCTCTCTGCTTCCTTTTCCATTCTCGCTTCTTCGCGGTCGTGGAGCTTTGTGGTCCTTCCTGGGACAAGTAGAAGGAGATAGAGATAGAGATAGACGCCTATCGTCAATCTTCCAGCACCGGATGGCGTCGTTGACACTGCACGGCGCCTCCTTGGCGCTCTCGTTTGTGTGTACGCAGCGGAGGCCGAAATGCGAAACGAAATCTGAGGGCGGAGCCTCAAGGCGCCAAAAACAAAAACATACTTTCGTCAAATTCTGTGGTCGGCGGGAGCAAACAGCGCGCGGGCCTCCGCGACGAGGGCATGGGCATTTCTCTGCTGACGCGGCTGTCAAGGCTTCGTACACATGGGACAGCGGGAGGTCCGTTATTGCCCGCGCACCCCTCGTTGCCCCCGTCGCGCAGTCGCAGCTCCATCGTCTGGTCTGCGGCCCTTGCGCAAGGAAGAGGGGTGTAGCCCAGGCTTCCGCGGCGGTACCTCGCGCGGATTTCGCGGAATGCTGGTTGCCGCTGAGAAGGGGTGCCAGGGTCAGTCCGACGGCGCCAGGAGCCTCAGCGCCTGTCGCAGCAGCGGGCGACCTCGCCTCCGCGGGGGAGGAAGCGGCTGGACGGAGTGCGCTCGCGCCCATCGGCGGAAGCTGTGGTCGTTCCACGTATCGGCCTGTTGACAATCACACAGGCAGGAGCATCGGCGACGGCGACGGCGGCGGTGGCGGTGGCGCTGACGCTGGCGGGAGATCAGCAGGCGGCAGCAGGAGCAGCTGGCGGGGTCGTTCTGCCCCGCGCTCGTGTGTCTGCGCCGCTGCCGGGACGTCCTGTGCGTTCGCCTCCGTCATTACCACCACCGCCGTCGTCGCTGCGGCGCCTACCACCCCTTCTTTCGGCGCTGGTCATCAGATCGGTCAGATCGGTCGAACGACTTCCCGCTCAACGACGACAGGCTCGTTTGACTCTCCATGCAACGCTTCCCCGCCAATTGGCGTGAAGGTCAACCTCGTCAATATCCATGGTTCTTTGTGGGGTGGTGGTGATTGTGTTGGACTTACAAGTGTTTCCTCGGCGCCACGAGCTGCCAGTCTAGTTGCTGGGAATTGTGCTCTTGGTCGTGATTGGGAACGTGGGCCACGACGAGGAGAAGGAGGAGGAGGAAGAGGAGGAGGAGGAGGAGGAGGAGGTGATTGCTTGCGGGAATGGGAGGCTCGGCAGCGCAGCGTGGATTGCCCGCCAACTCCAGCCCGATACGTTGGTGCTTCTGGGCTGACCCGAGAAGGTCATCAAGAACGCCGCCGCGATTCCCTGCGCAAAATGGCGGATGAGCGCGGGGGGGGAATGCGCCACGTGGCGCCTTGCCATGTCGTCAATGCCGGTGTGGTGATGAGGAGGACAAGTCCAACCCCTTCCAGACTATCGGTCGCTTTCATGGCTGGTGCCGCAGTGGGTATGGCCGCCGCCGCGGCGGGAAAGGGTCGGAGCGGGACTGGCCTATGGCGATCGGTCGTTTGCATGGTAGGGGAGACCTCATCAAGCGGCGGTCGCAGTGTGGAGGGCCTGTCGCAATTACTATTACTAGTAAATGGGCGTGAGCAGTCTACGAGCATGGCGCGTCCACGAGCGCCACGTGTCCTTCGGCAGATCGCAAGGAGTCTGTTGTCATCCGATGGTTGTGCTTGCCCCCCATTGACACGTGGCAGTCATTCGGCCATTCAAGCGGTGAGTAGGAAGGTTGATGCGGTGTCGTGGACATCGAGGGAGGGAGCATTGGCGCCTTTCCACGGCAAAGGATTACTGTCGGCGGCGGCGGAAGCAAAACTGTCGCTCCCCTCTTTCTCCTTATCTTCACATTTCGATCAGCTCGCTGCAGTTGGTGGTCGTGCGGTCAGGAACGTTTTGGCGGGAGGGTTCTCTTCTAAGGTCTCCTCCACAAGCAGTACGACTGCTCCTGTAATCAAGATCAAGAGCGAAATACGGTCGTGGCTGAGTGGAGCGGGAGGGCTAGAAGGAAGAGGAGGAGATGGTCTTGCTCCTACTAGAAGAAGGTACTTAGTCGATCTTCGAAACGTTGTCAAGAAGACGCATCAGGAGCAGCAGCAGCAGCAGCTGCAGCTTTTTCAGGCTTATGGTCATGGGGGTATTGGGGTGCATCCTTTTAGAATGCGTGGTGGCCCGAATGATAGGCGCCGGATGATGACTCGTTGCCTGCAGTGGACGGCAAGACAGACGACTTGTGGAAAACATGGGGGAAAAAACGACTGGTTTGGTAATTTGAGCTGCTGCGTGTGGGAAGGGAGTGGGCAGTCTCTGCAGCGTGGAGGAGGGCGCGATTTGTCGAGAACGACGAGTTTGATGAGGACATCAGCGATGGTGACGACAAGCAGTAGCGGAGGACGCAGTATGGGGCAGTTATTACACGTCGGGTCATGGGGAGGACCTTTTCGGCCGGGCAGTTTATTCCAACCTCGTCGAGTCAAGGCCACTGCAGCAGCCAGAGAAAGAACGTTGGCTAGGTGTACGTCAGAAGCAGGGCCTAGAATCAGAGAGAGGCGGAGGGAACCCGACTTGTCGCAGCGTGTCATCGAATTCTACTTGCGTTGCCTTCAGCAAAGACCTATCGTCACCAAGAGCGTAACAGCTGGCGCCATGGCCTTTCTGTCGGACATCACGGCCCAGGTATGTGAAAACAAGTCTGTAAGAACTTCGAGCGCAAGTGGCATTTGACGTTTGCAACTCCCTTCGCTTCGCGAGGAAAGGAAGGAGCTCTCTCTTTGTTTAAATCGACGTTGCTCGACCTCGTGTGCGTCTGCGTGTGTGTGTGTGTGTGTGTGTGTGTGTGTGTGTGTGTGTGTGTGAGAGAGAGAGAGAGAGAGAGAGAGAGAGAGAGAGAGAGAG